ACAAGATGTGGCCATGTAACTTCAAGTTAGGTGTAATGTTTAATAAATAAAAGATAATAGGTAAGCAGTTGCATTAATTATAAAACAAATTTTTTGTAATCAATCGTATGAGGCTATTTCAGTTGTTTGTGTTGTTACATATTACAATTTTGAATGGTCTGAAACCGAGCTAAATGATAATTTAAATTTAGTAGTTTAATATATGCTGATATATTTGCATTATATTTGCCAACAAGATTGATATACACAGTTTTCTTTTTTAATACAAATATGTTATAATATATAAACAATACAATTTACAACAACAATTATTACAAACAGTGATTTATATACAAAAGTTTTACAAACTTACAAGCAATATAAAGTCTTCTTTCTAGTCTGGAAATTCCTTGATGTCTTATCGCGGGTTCACGATGAGAGAGTTAATTTTGAGTTGATGTAGATGTAATTCACTTAACAGGGAGCTAGCTAGTCCTGTAGTTCTTGCTGATCACATGTCGAGTTTCCACCGATGACATTAGATAATGTTTCCGTAAAAGTATTAATGTCTGATGTGAATCCACTGAAGTTAAATGGTTTGTAATGTTCAAAGTTTATAAACGTTCCTGGTCAAATATCTGAAGTTTCCCGATTAACAAGCGTTAATCAAAGTTATAGCTTACGAAGTTTATAGCACACCAATTACAGCAACCCAATAATAGATACTGTTTTTAGGCACATCACGTTGGTTATATTTATAGCCGTGTGGAGAGTTTCTTGAAAATTTTGATTACATAACAATACAAAGCTACATTAGCATTTACGTACACACACATATTGTTGATTCTTACACTCGAGAACATTCCAGAAAAGTTAATTTTTTAATTAAAAGTAAATATTAAAATATATACCTAAATATTGATTTTTGTGTGTCACGTGGTATGTTGAATGCAACTTTGGTTCAAATTAGATGTTGTGATGTCGATATACAAAGGCTATAGTTTCTTTCAAATTAAAAACTCAATTTACTGATGTTGATAAGCTAGAATATAAAACAAGAACCTCTTATCTTTTCCATTTGCTGAAATATCACTATATACACCTGTTTCACTCTGTTATGGCCTTATAATCATTCAAACGTTCAGAATTTCCTCCACATGGTTTTCTCAGGCTCTTGAAGGTGAAAAGTTTCAAGGTTATTTTTATTGTCTCGAATATCAGAAAGAAGATAAAAGTGAAAATGTTGTTTGACACATTATATTTTTTAGACCCAAATACAGCTTAATTACAAAGTCTGATAACTTATAGTGGATTTTTGTGATATTGTAATTTATGATTTTTTTAAAGTTTAAAAATGCATATATAAAACCTAAAAAAGTAATTTTATTTTACATCCTCCTCATGTGAAATTTGACAAGGCTCAGCAAATTTTGGTAAGCGGCAAATGAGTGTAAATTTCATAAGTAGGAGAGATAATTGTTTTTGTATTTCTTTATTTACTTTTCTATATTTTAAGAAAAATAACTGAAATTTAAAAATGATTTGTAAATAGTAATAATATATATACATATGTAATGTATTATAACTGAAATGTGATTTTGTTTTACAAAATACTGGTCCACTAGAACAAAGCCAAGACAGGTCACTTTGCACAGGCCAGTTTTTTACTATTTGATACAGTAACATGAGTGCACATGCGCCACATCATTGCAATAAACCATTTAGAGTAAACATTTATGGTTTCTTGTTATAATATGT